TATTAGATAGAGGCAAATAATAATTAAATATAACAGTAATAGATAGGCAAATAATAATTAAATATAACATTAATACTACTTATTAATGATAGAAAAAAAAATCTCTAAACACAGAGAAAGTATTGACAAAGTTGTTTGCATTTTTGTTTGTTTGTTTGTTTGTGTGTATATTTGTGTGTTTGTATGTGTGTAGTGGAGACCAGAGAGCGGCTGGATGGGCTGGAGGGAGTGGCGGCTCACGGCGACGTGCCAGATTTCTGCGCGGCCAAAGTGCAAGGGTTCAAGTTCCCGACGTATATCCCTCCCAACGTGAAGGATGACATGGTCAGTGAGTGTCGTGTGTCACTGAGTGTTGTGTGTCAGTGAGTGTCGTGTGTCAGTGAGTGTCATGTGTCAGTGAGTGTTGTGTGTCAGTGAGTGTCATGTGTCAGTGAGTGTCGTGTGTCAGGGAGTGTCAGTGAGTGTCGTGTGTCAGTGAGTGTCGTGTGTCAGTGAGTGTCGTGTGTCAGTGAGTGTCGTGTGTCAATGAGTGTTGTGTGTCAGTGAGTGTCGTGTGTCCGTGAGTGTCGTGTGTCAGGGAGTGTTCTATGTCAGTGAGTGTCGTGTGTCAATGAGTGTTCTATGTCAGGGAGTGTCGTGTGTCAGTGAGTGTCCTGTGTCAGTGAGTGTCACGTGTCAGTGAGTGTCGTGTGTCAGTGAGTGTCCTGTGTCAGGGAGTGTCGTGTGTCAGTGAGTGGTGAGTGTCATGTGTCAGTGAGATTGGTGTGTCAGGGAGTGTCATGTGTCAGTGAGATTGGTGTGTCAGGGAGTGTCGTGTGTCAGTGAGTCTGGTGTGTCATATACATATAGATGTAGATAGAGATAGATATTTGCTTTGTTGTTGATGACAAAAATGCCCATCTATTTTGAACGGAAGTTGAGATTTTTCAGATTCAAGGAATTCATGGAGATCCCCTCATTTCTCAGGGAAAATTAACGAGAAAACGGCCGCCAAAGTTGACTTAAAAAGCCTGAGGGTCCTTGAAAAGTGAACATTTACAATTTTTGGGCTTTCTTCAGTAGAATGGAGGCAGGAAAGTGGAGTTTAATGGAGGTGTAAGCTGGTGAGCCAAAAGTAGAAAAAAATTGCCCAACTACCAGAAAAATTTCAATTTTTTTTATTTCATCATTTTGACGAGCGCCTGATTTCATCATTTTGACGAGGGCCTGATTTCATCATTTTGACGAGCGCCTGATTTCATCATTTTGACGAGTGCCTGATTTCATCATTTTGACGAGCGGCTGATTTCCCCACGATGCCTCACATATTCTCTTCCGTGTCCTGTGATTGCAACCATGGTGTAATATATCATTCATTTATTTATATACGTATATCTCAGTCGGTGGTGTGTCCTGTGATTTCAACAGTGCTGTATGTATAAAAATATATATA